ACAAGAGAACACACCATGGCCCGAGAAAACCAAACCACGACCAAGGGGCCGAGAAAGCGAACAAAAACCAACCAGGGTCAACAAAAAAAGAAGACCACGACCCAGGAGCCCAGAAAATAAGAAAACGAGATAACGAAACGGGGTCCGAGAAAACGAGACCACGACCAAGGGGCAGACAGAATGCGAAAACGATAAAACAAACCAGGGTCCGAGCCAGGGGCCGAGAAAACAAGAAAACGAGAAACCGAACCAAAATCCGAGAAAAAAAACTCCACGACCCCGGGGACGATGAAATAAGAAAACAAGACAACGAATCCGGATCAGAGAAAACGAGAACACGACCCAGGGGCCGACTAAACAAGAAAACAAAACAACGAACCTGGGGCCGAGAAAACGAGACAACAACCCAGGGGCCGAGACAAAGAGAAAACGAGAGAACGAACCCGAGCCCGAGAAAACGAGACCACGAACCACGGGCCGAGAAAACGAGAAGACGAAACAACAAACCAGAGAAAACAACACCACAATCCAGGGGCCGAGATACGGAGAACACGAGAAATCGAACTAGGGTCAGAGAAAAGGAGACCACGACCCAGGGGCCGAGAACACGAGAAAACGAGGAAATTCACAAGGGTCCGAGGAACATTGACACCACGACCCAGTGACCGAGAAAACAAAAAACGAGATCACGAGCCAGGGCCCAACAAACAACACAAAAAAACAAAAGCCGAGAAAGCGAGACAACAAACCAACGAACCAGGGTCCAAGAAAACGAGACCACGACCCACGGGCCGAGAACACGAGAAAACGAACAACCAAACCAAAGTCCGAGCAAACGAGACCACGACCCAAGAGCACAGAAAACGCGAAAACGAACCAGGGCCCGAGAAAACACGACCACGACCCAAGGGCCGAGAAAACGAGAAAACGATAAAGGAATCCGGGCCCGAGAAAACGAGACTACGAACCAGGGGCCGAGAAAACAAGACAACGAAGAAACGAGCTGGAACACAGAGAACGAAACCACGACCCAGGGGCCTAGAAAACAAAAAAAAAAAAAAGAAAACGAACCAGGCCCCAAGAAAACCAGACCACGACCCACGACCCAGGGGCTGAGAAAACGAGAAAAAGAGACAACGAAGCAGGGTCCGAGGAAACCACGACCCAGGGGCCGAGATCACCAGAAAACTATTGGTTCGAGAAAGCGAGACCACGACCCAGGAGCCGAGAAAATGAAGAAACGATAAAACGAAACAGGGTCAGATAATACACGACCACCACCCGGGGGCCGAGACAACGAGAAAACGAGAATACGTACCAGCGTCCGAGAAAACAAAACCACGACCCAGGGGCCGAGAAAACGAGAAATCGAACCAGGGTCCGAGAAAACTGGACCACGACCCAGGCGCCGAGAAAACGAGAAAACGAGAACGCGAACCAGGATCAGAGAAAACGAGACCGCGACCCAGGAGCCGAAAACACGAGAAAACATGACAAACAAAAAAACGAGAACACAAGAAAACGAAGGGCCCGAGAACACAAGACTACAAACCAGGGGCCGGGACAACAAGAAACAAGAAAAGGAACCAGGGGTCGACGTTATTCCCCAATTCGTTCTCTAGCGCTGCGGTGCGAACCCGTTGTCAGGGATTCTGCTATTTTGCCAGAGCCCCGGAAAAGGGGGGAAGGGGGATGTAGTTTCGGAAGCTCCCCCCTTTGCACGGGGGGGGTAGCTTGAAACCGCCCCCCCCCTTTGTCCAAACCGTAAAAGGAAGGAGGGGGGGGTAGCTTCCGAAGCCCCCCCCCCCTTTGAAAGGTAAGCCCGGGCTCACCTTCTGCTCCGAAAAAGGAGGAGGGAGGGGGAGCTTCGACCCCCCCCCCCCTTGAGCCAGAGCCCCCCCAGCTTAGAAAGCCTTACGAAAGGGAGTTGGAAGGAAGGGGGGGGTAGCTTGAAACTGGGGCCCCCTTTTCTTATTCCGGTCGCGATCGGCGCGCTTTTTCATACGACATACATTTACATACACACATAAATACATACATACACACAAACATACAGACATACAGACATACAAACATACACATATACATACATACGTGCAAACATACATACATACACATACAAACGTACAAACGTACATACATACACACATACACACATACATACAAACAAACATACACATGTATACATGTTTAAATACATTTACACACACGTATGCATCTATACATACATATCTATGTATCACTGGCCAGCGTCCAGCCCTCCGCCAATGGTGGAGAATCGATGTCGCCGCCGTCTTCCACATTCCCCACGGGCAGTGGGCCTCCGCTGCGCCCGCCGCCTCTGCGGTGACTGGCCACGCGCGTGCGAGGCGCCCTCCCGGCGCACAGATCAGGCGTGCACGCCTGGGCCCGCGAGAGATCGAACTCGGCGGCGAGCGAGGAAGGGGCGTGAGAGGCAGAAGGCCTTCTCAGAAGGTTCGGAAATCCCCCTCGGCCTTCTGAATTTGTTCTTAAACCTTCCCCGAAAGCAGAAACAACTGCTCAGAAGGCGCGAGGGCTTCTCAGAAGTCCGGCCGCCTTCTGAGAAGGCCTTCTCCTTCTCCTTCTCTTCCTCATGCCCCCCCTCGCTCGCCGCCGAAGAAAGGAAGAGGTGGGGGGGCCAAGGGAAGAAGAAGAAACTGGAGCCAAGAGCCGGCGGATCACAGAAGCAGAGGCAAGCGTGACAACTCGACAAATTCATGCATCACTGGCCAGCGTGCAGCCGTCCGCCGACGGTAGACGATCGATGGCGCCGCGATCTCTCGCATTTCCCACGGGCAGTGAGCAGAAGCTGCGCTCTTGAACTCTGAGGTGGCCGACCCTGCATGTTCTGCAAACCTGGGCCCATGCCCGTACTATGTACTGGGATGGTGGTCTGGGATCGCGACTTTCGCGGCATGTTGGAACTGCTACTGACGCCCCCTCTCGCTAGTTTGACAGGGTCGGCGGAGGCGGCGGCCGTGCGATAGATGCGAATTTCATTCTTGCCTTCTATCACGACGTGGGGTCCGCCAGTCACATGGCGCACTTCGCCAGTGCATTTGTGCGCGGAGAGAGGCGAGAGGTCAAGGGGGCCACCATCGAGCAACTTGGCCGGCATTGTAGATGGTCCCAGGGCGGCAGTTGTGGACGACGGCCGACCCGCCCCGCCGCGGGCCTGGAATTCGTGAGCGAGCCAGCGCCTGGACAACTGCCGACCCTCAATCACGAAGGCCACTCCGCCCCAGGAGCAAACATCGCTAGATCAGCAACCTTGCGCATCGTCAGGTTGTCTGCCTTTGCGCGCTGCTGATCGGCTTCGGACGGGTTAGGGGCGCCCCAGAGGAGTGGCAGGATCGCCGCTGCGCAACTGCGCGGGGGAACCACGGCACCCAGAAACATTGCGGCGGGCCTGGGACCACGAACCGCGCGCGTGGCCTCGCCCCCCTCCTCCAACGACGCGTCGAGGTAGTCCTGGAGCAGGTTCAACGCGACCGCCGCCGCTATGGGGGGCGGCTCTTTGACCTCCGCTGCGAGCCACCTGCGGGGCGCGTCGGCGAAAGTCTCGTGCTGCGGCGTGCAGCCAGCGTCAGGGCGGCGGCCTCGCGCGCAGATCTCGCCCCTCGCGAGGCCAGGCGCCGCGGGGGGGCAGGCCCCTGGGCCGCCGGCCTGCGCTGGCCGGCGCGCCCGGCTGCTGTCGGCCCCGTGCCGTGGGCCGCCGAGCTCTTTCGGCGACCGGGGGCTGCGGTCCACGACGCGCCCCGGCGGCGCGGCGACTCGCAACTGCCCGCTCGAAGAGGCGGGAAGGCTCATCGCTCGCTCGGGAGGCGGGAGGGCGAAGAGTCGGGGGAAGGTCGCCTGGGCGAGGGGGGCGCGGCCCCGCGGGCGCTCGACGCGGGCGTGCGAAGTCCTCCCGTTTTCGGGGGGCGTTCAAACAAGGCTGGCGCGTGCGAGAGGGCCGGGGCTAGCCGTTGGCGTGTCCCCCAACCGCGCGATCCTCCGTCATTGCTCGTCTCTGGCGGAATCGTCCTTGCCGGCCCCCGCCGCTTTTTTTTGCGTCTCGCGCTTTCCTTTTCGCCCTGTTGATGGCGGTGTGCTTCCCCGCCTCGCAGGCCGCGCGCTGGCGCGCAGGGGGGGGCCGTGCCCGCGCCGCCCTTCCGCTCCTCGATGCCGCGATGCTACTTCCAACCACTCCGTTCAGGATTCGCGGGGCGTCACCGTGCACTTCCTCGATCGATTGCTCTCGCCTAGACGACGACTTAGCCGCCCCGAGCTTCTTGAGATTGAGGCCGCCCACTGTGGCCCCGATCAGCAGGGCCATGGCGAGGACCGGGCGCTCGTGGACTCGACGGTCGCGGGGCTTGATACCTGACCCGGTAACCCGTTTATCGTGTTCGTAGACCAGGGCCAAGCCGCCGCTGCCGGCGCTCGCCGTCCGCTTCACGAAGTGGGGGGCCGTGCTCGGGCCGATCATCGGAATCTTCGCGCGGAGATTTTCGGCCATTTCGGGGGCGCAGGCGGCGACAGAGCGGGGCCAGCATGTCGGGTCGGCCCCGACCGCTCCTGCCGCGGCTGCCGGCCCGGCGGCCGCGACCGCCACCGCGCTGGGCGCGGCCGCGGGGGCCGCGGGCGCCGGCGCCGCGACGGCGCTGGGCACGACGGCGGCGGGGGCCGCGCCGCCCGCGGGCTCGCCCCCCCCCCCCCCCCCGGCCGCAGCCGCTAGCGCAAATCCAACGGGGGCACCCCGGGCCGTTCAGCGGCTCCAGCTTGCTGGTCCTCGGCGAGGAGCTGCTGCAGCTCCGCGGGCGTCGGGGGAGGATTGGGCCCGTGGGTCTGTCTGCCCGGCCCCCGTGGCCGCCGCGCCAGGGGCCGCTGGAAAACGGATGCCAGACAAATCTGGGTTTTGGCCAGCCACTCCCTCCAAGAAGATGCCATAGTCGGAAGGGGGCGCGCGATGTGCTTGTTTTCTTGAGCATGGAAAGAAATCCCTCTCTCGCGCCATCTGTCGTCATCATATGTGAGCAAGAGCAGCGCGATACCGCTAGGTCTGAGAATCATCTCGAACTTGACTGCGAACCTGCATCGTCGGAGACTTCTGAATCCGAAGATGGTTGGGCGTCTTCGAAGACAACTCGCGCTTCGCCTCCGCGTCTGTGTGGGCGGCTGGCCGAGCGTAACCTTGGACGGGCTGACTCACCAACGCGCCGTCAGAAACGCCCCGAACGTGAACTCCGCGACTTCGGCGAGACTAGCAAAGAATATGTAAGTCCCGCTGCGGCGAGATCACCGAAGCGCATGGCGCGATCGGGCAAGGCACCGCTTGCCGGTGCTCTGGGCCACGCCGCTGCAACTGCTCGCGGAGGACCTCGAGCGCCCTGCTCCCAAGGTCGGGCCTGGAGAGCTCGCAGTGGCAGGTGGGGTGGGTGTCGCCTCCGCTGCCCCGGAAGCGCTCCGCCGGCGCCCCACAGACCCATCCGAGCGCGGCGGGCGACAGGTTTGCCGGGAAGGAGCTCTAACTAGGAGTGGGGGGACCACGAGGGCACGGGCCAATGTGATAACTCGACAAGCTCGTAATTTGTATTATTATCATTATTGATAGTAGCGTCATTACTATTACTATTATTGTTATTCGTGCGGTGGGGGCATTCGTTTGGCGACGCACGCGTCGAGCAACTGGAATTCAGAGAGAGAGAGAGAGAGAGATAGAGAGAGAGAGAGAGAGAGAGAAAGAGAGAGAGAGAGAGACAGAGAGAGAGAGAGAGAGAGAGAGAGAGAGAAAGAGAGAGAGAGAGAGAGAGAGAGAAAAGAGAGAGAGAGAGAGAGAGAAAACACCAAACACACGACATGCAAAATGGCCCGCCCGCCTGGCGCCCTGCGCGCCCCCGAGGACGCGAAGCGCAGACCGACGGCGCAGACCAGAGCCCTGTCGGCGCGGCCGTCCGCGCACAGCGCCCCGCGCGGCAACTGCCGCCGGCGCGCTGCAGCCTAACTGGGGCACAGCTGACGCGCGCCAGGGGTTGGGGAAACGCCGCGTGCTGCAACCGCGACGCTGCGCCTCGAAAAGGGCGGCCGCTCAGACCCCGAGCGGCGCCTCCTCGTTTGCCTCCGCGAGGCGCCCATGCTCGGCGGCCAGCGTGGCCTGGGTCTGCTCCTGGATCCAGCACGGACCAAGCTACTGCTTCTCAGCATCGGGCTCGACGAGCGCCGACTCCTGCTCGTGATGCCACCCTGGGTGGTGCAGGTTCCGAAACTGCACCAAAAGCTTGCGCTCCTTCTTGCGCGGGCGTTTGCTCCTGTTATGCACGGTTTTACTGCCGCCGCCAGGGCTGGCAGGTTGCCCAACCTCCTCGTCAGTAGCGACCTCCTGCTCGTGCAGAGCGTACGTCTCCACAGTCAGGGGCTCCATGGCGGACTCGAAACCGTAGGCCCCCTGCGCGGACCAACCTGGGGAACTGGGCCCCCCCCTAAGCTCTTGTATTCCACGGTGGTGGTTAACCCGCTCTCAATTGCTCCTGCTCTGATCCTGTACCTCCTTCTGCATGGCCCTGCAGCGGCGCCACCGCCGCTTCTTGAGAGCACCCTTCGACGGTGACGCCGCCTCCGCCGCAGCAGGCGACCGACAAAAAGGGGACCTCACATCACAGTCGGGTCATGCCGCTTTTGCAACTCCATCACCGCCTGGGTCAAATTCTCCTGCTGCGCCGCGATGCGGTCCATCATCAGGTGCAGCAGGGTCTGGTTCTTCTTCTCCGCCAGGTCCCATGGGGTGGGGAACGCTCCCACTGGAGGCTGGCGGACTGGCCGCCTGAGCTGGCGTCTCCTGGGCCCGCTGGGGCTCCTGGTGCGCCACCCGCGGCTCCCCCGCCAGCACCTTCTCCCTCCTTGGTGCTGGCGGCGGAGAGAGTGGCTTCACCGCCTCTTGGGGCTCCTCCGAACACGCCTGCGCCAACTTCTTGTACTCCCGCCTGAGATCACCGCGGCCGCCGCACCGAGGCACGCCAGGGAACAGGTCAAGTCAGCGACTGAAGCACTCGCCTCCGCAGCTCGGGTGGAAAATGGCTTGAGCCAGACTGGCTACGGTCGGTGGGGGCGAACCCCTAGATAAGGAATCCAGGGTCTGGAGGCCAATAGAACTCCAATCGAAGCTTGGTCATGGATTTCACAGCCGCCCTCATCATGTACGGAATCCTCCAGTGTCTGAAGCTTCTTAGGAACATTCCTTAACCAATGCCGCCGCCGTATTTTCATTTTTTTTTGTGGATCTAGTAGTGATTACCCTGATTAATGGTAGTAATAGTATCCGTGTTCTTACTATTTGTACCATTACTGTTCTTATCTTGGTTAACCCAACTACCACTACCACTACGATTACCACTGCAATTATTCTTATGTGTCTTATTATCAGTATCGTTGCTTATACTATTATGTTTCGTATCGCATACTGATTCGTTGTAATATTGTGACTCTTCGTATCATTGTCACCACCATTCGCATGACTGCTGTTTTCGATTGCGGTGATGATGATGGTGATGTTAATGGTGATTCTTCTTATCATTAATACTGCTGACCTCGGATGTTGTTACTTCGTCTGTTGCTACAACTTATACTTGTTATTGTGAATGAGTATGTGGATATCTCTCTCTATATATATAGGTGTGTGCATATACCTATATATACACATGTGTATCAGCAATGGTATCTCCATTTGTGTTTACAGATGTTTATCGGTGTAACAATGTACAACTGTATGCTTGTATGTATGTGGTCCTGGGAGTCATCCTGCCCCAAGGAGGCGGCGGCGACTCCCCAGTGGTGCCCCCCAAGCACTCCCTGGGATGGAGCGGATGTAGACTGGGTCGCGCCACCAGCTCCCCGTGGTGAGGCGCATATAGATCGCGGCCAGAAAGCCCACGAACGAGATGGAGGACCTCAGAGTCCCCCCGTCCCCTGACTCGGGCCGACCCCTCGGCGCGAACCCGATCCAACTGGCCCGAGCCTCTCCCTCGCCCTCCTCCCTCCTCCCTCCCTCCTCCCTCTCCCTCTCTCTCTCTCTCCCTCCCTCCCTCCCTCCCTCCCTCCCTCTTCCTCCTCCCTCCTCCATCCCTCTCCCTCCTCCCTCCCTCCTCCCTCCCTCTTCCTCTCTCGCTCCCTCCCTCCCTCCCTCCCAAGAATGTTTGTGAGATCGGAGACGACAGCGTGAACCAGGGATTCCCTCCAGTTAGTGTCCTTGCGGAACGCCGCGGGCCACGCCTTGGGGCCGCGCGCAGCGGAAAAGAGGAAAGCAACGTGGGGGACGGAACCGCTTGGGATTGCAGCGACGATCGTGAGTGCAGCGGTCGTGGTGGGCATGGTGGTGGTGACGGGAGTGGTGTCGTGGGCGCAGAGTTGCAATGGTACCAGGAAGCAAGCACTGTGGTGGGATGTTGGTGGTGACGGGAGTGGTGTCCTGGGTGCAGATGTGCACTAGCACAGGGAAGCAAATACTGACACACACACACACACAAACTTTCGAAGGTCCACACGGATTTCTTGGATCGGCGCTAAAGCTCCCTGGCGGCGCCTCAGGCAACGCCCCTGGCGCGCTGCGCGTGCTGGGTAGTGGGGTCCAGCGCCAAGCAAACACATCTGCGCGGGCCTCCGAAAGCTTGTGCTTATGTCGTTACATGTCCCCCGATCACTTGACGGTGATGGTGATGACTGCGATGGTGATGGCGGGCGGTAGCCATTCAAGAGATCATGGTGATGATGCCACTTTGCGGTTGCGTCTAGGGGTTGCGGGTGCCCGCGGTCCAAAATGGGTTACCCGGTTGCGCTTGCGGGTGCACGTCGTTGATTTCCAATCGTGTTCATTTCTAAGTGTGCTCGTTTCTAATTGTTCCTGACCCCCTGGTGGCCAGGAAGAGGCCCAGGATAGAACAATCAGGCATGAAAGGATCTTGGCCCAAAAAAATCGAAGACCTTCCGAATACTTAGAAATGATCAATGTGTAGGTTTGCCCGCGCCCTTGGCCCAGAGTGTGCTTGCCCAGTGGTGGATGCCCGCGGCCCAGCATATGTCGCTGGCGCTTGCGGGTGTGGTTGCACGTGCGGTCGTGGGGGTCGCAGGGCCCCGAGGCCCCGAATCCGCTGTCCAGTTGCGGCTGCGTGTGCTCGTGACCCCAAGATGTGTTGCTGCTGCGCCTGCGGCGCAAACTGTGCTGTCCGCGGCCGAAAGGTGTGTTGCCAGGTTGCGGTCGCGGGTGCGGCTGTGGGTGCGGTGTCCGGCGGCCGCGGCCAAAACCAGTTGCGGATGCGGTTGCCCGCGGCCTAAAATGCGCTGCCCGATTGCAGTTGCGGTCGCGGTTGCTGCTTCGGGTGCCCGCGGCCTCAAGTGCGCTGCCCGCTTGTGGATGCGAATTCCGTGGCGGGCGCCCATGGCCCAAAGTGTGTGGCCCTGGTGTGGTGGAGGTTGCCCGCGGCCCAAGATCTGTTGCCAAGTTGCAGTCGACAGTGCGGCTGTGGGTGCTCGCGGCCCAAAAGTATCTTACGCCATTGCGGGGCGGGTGCTGTTGCGGTTGCCCGCGGCCCAGGATGTGTTACCCAACTGCGATTGTGGGTGCCCCGCCAGCATTTGTTGCCTGGCTGCTGTTGCGGGCGCCCGGAATCGCGGGCGGCTCAAAATGTGTTCTCTCCGACTGGTCCGTCGACGTCAATCCGTGGGTCAGGCGGGCATGGAATTTCCAGCGGCTGCGCTGGGAAAACGTCAGTCGTGACTGGACCTGTCCCAGACTGCGTCCCGACGTGGATGTGGAGGCGGATCCAGCCGTGGCGACGAGGGCGCCGGAGGAGGCCTAGCGAGCACAGAGACATGCAAATGCCACGACCCTCGACCTTCGACCTTCTTGGCCCTCGGGCGGAGACCTTCTGTGCCTTGTGTGTGTGTATACAATAACACCCTACGCGTGGGTCGGACGAGGCGGGTAGAAACACTAAGCAGGAAGGCTCTGAAAGCAGCTTGGGCCTCCGCCCGCCCCCTGAGGAGGAGGGAGGAGGGAAACTCACTCGACTCTTGAAGCAGGACGGCGGCCATCGTAGATCTGGGACGTGGGCATCCAGCAATGCCTACCTTCAACGACCGACGGGCACCTGCAAATCCGCCTTCGCTGGCGGAGCCGCCGCCGTTTCGCTCCCGCCGCCTTCCGCCGCGGCAAGAGGCGCCAACTCCCTCTCGAGACTTGAAGGCACGGCCCTTCTGGGAACGCCTCGTCTGTCGGCTGCCCTTGCTCTTGCCTCGGGTGTTGCTATAGGAGGAGTACCCCTGGCCCGAGGTGCCCCCAGCTTTTCACTCGACTCTCGAGCCCCTGGGGCCCTCTGGGCCTCGTGAGGGGCGCCCATGAGGCCGCCCGGGTCATCCCGAGACTCCTGGGGGCACCTTGCGCCAGGGACACTTCTGGCAACACGCGATTGCCTTCATGCTGCACGCGGCGCCCCCGGAAGCCCCGACCCCTCCCCCAGGACCCGGCCCCAAGGGGGCACGACTAGAGGGCCTCTGAGCCCGGGGCAGAGGAGCGCCTCTCAAGAACGTGAGTGGGACCCTCCGCCGGCCAAGATGCACGGATCATCCAAAGGGAATCCTCCCCAGGGTGCACAAGAGCATCCAACAAGCACGATGAAAACGACGGTAGCCTCCCCGAAGCGACCGCGATCTGATACCTCGGTCCCACTGTGCGCCCTGGGAGGTGTGCCGGCGCGCCCAAAGGGGGTATGGGGGGAGGGGGGGAGGCTCCTTAGAAGGAGGCTGCTTCGTAGAAGGCGCTGGCCCAACATCTACAGACAAGGCCCGCGCCTTCTAAGAAGCAGGGGTGCTTCTGATAAGAAGCCTTCCTCCCTCCCCCTACCTCCTCTGCGCGGGGCCGAGAGGTCTGGGGGAGCCGGTGCAGTCGAGTTTGATTGGAGAGGACACGCGAGAGGACACGAAACCCATCCGAGGGGCATGTTTCTTGAGGACCGCAAAGTTCATATGATGCGAAGCGCGGGACACGAAGGGTCCGTCGACGTGGGAGGGTCGACCCACTAATCAAACTCGACTGTAGCAGCGTGTTGCTTCGCCTCGCAGAACGGGAGGCTGGAGAACAACTCGGAGCGTCGACGCCTGCCTAGCGTGTCGTGTCTTAACGCAGCTGGCCAGCACCGGCGGCGCGAAGCACTTGGTCAACGTTACTGGCCGTAGGATCGTCGGGTGCCCTCCACCGCCAGGGCCTCAGCGATGGAGGGCGAGGGAGAGCGGAGGGCGAGGAGGGCGGAGGGCGAAGGAGGATGTAAAGGACGGAGGGCGAGGAGGGCGAGGAGGGTGGAGGAGGGCGGAGGAGAGCGGAGGAGAGCGGAGGGCGAGGAGGGCGAGGAGGGCGAGGAGGGCGGAGGAGGGAGGAGGAGAGCGGATGGCGAGGAGGGCGAGGAGGTGTTTTCTCGGCGCGCAGCTCCAGGTCCTGACCTCTTCTCCAGGGGCACCTTGTCGCCCCGGCTCCGTTTCTCTGAAGGTCCCGAGGCCCCGGAGACGGGCGCCCGAGGCCGAGACCGAAGGAACGTGTCCGTGAATGGGGCCCAGGGGCACACCACAAAGACAGACATCCCAGGATTCCCAATACTGTCATTTTTTTTCTCGAGGTTCGTATCCCCCTCCTCTTCCCATAATCATGTTCCATATTTTCTTCGGAATCGACGATGCTGTGTCTGTGCGCTGTTGTTTTCCCTCCCGAGTCTGTGTTTGTCGCGGCGCTGGCGGTCGCACGGCGCGCGCGGGAGACGACGAAGAGAAGGAGGAGGAGCAGGAGGAGGAGGAGGAGGAGGAGGAGGAGGAGGAGGAGAAGGGAGAGGAGGGAGGGAGGAGAAAGAAGAGGAGGAGGATGAGGAGGATGGAAAGGAGGCGAATAGGAGGGAGAGGAGAGGAGAGGAGGGAGGGAGGGAGAGGGAGGAGTGGAGGATGAGGAGGAGGAGGATAGGCGGAGGAGGAAGGGAGGAGGAGTAGAGAGGAGGAGGGATGAGGAGAGGAGAGGAGGAGGAGGAGGGAGGAAAAGGCGGAAAGAGGAGGAGAGGAGGAGGAGAGGAGGAGGAGGAATGAGGAGGGGAAGGAGGATAGAGAAGGAAGGAAGAGAGGATGAGGAGGAGGAGGAAGGGAGAGGAGGAGGAAGAGGGAGAAGTGGAGGAGGAGGAGGGAGAGGAGGAGGGAGGGGGGAGGGAGGGGGGCGGAAAGGAGGAGGAGCAGAAAGGAGGAGCAGACGGGAGGAGGGAGGGAAGGGAAGCGCTACGCTACGAGCTTCGATCGAAGTTTGCCCAGCGTAAAAGGGAATGAAGCGTGCGGCGCACTCAGGCCGCACTGGCCTTCAAGCGCAGCGTGGCGGCCAAGACTCCGAGGAAGACGCTGCTCGGAGATCGCGGCGTGGCGGCCCGATCGAGGCCTGGATCGGCGGATCCATGGGCGCCCTGGGCGAGGGGCAGGAATAGGCC